ATAAACCTTTCGACAAAATTTCTGTTATTCACACTGATTCATATTTCATAAAATACTTAAATAAGGTATTTCTTTCAAGGACAAATTAGGATGTACATAAACTCAAATCTAAACAGCATAACTGTGATTCTGAAGCTCGCACTATGAAACATCAACAGGTTGACATAACATCTGTTCTTCAGTTTTTCACCCAAGTTGTTATGGTAACCAAAATATGTGGAATATGTTTCCTAAATCTAACTGATGATTTCAAGTAAATAAAATTATATCATATCAGCTTACTAACAACAAATAATATTATTACTACAAACCTATATTTATCATTTTCATATACTAGTGGATCACATGATTATATTTAACTAGGCATTTACACATGTTGTTTTTATTTCCCTAGAATTCACATAAAAAAACAGTAAGGGTATTTTTTCCACTAATTTGATGATTCTATCTTGATTTAAAAACAAAATAATAGGTCAGTGTGATGGTACTCACTTTAACTACAGCACTGGAGAGGCAGAGGCAGGAAGGCAGATCTCTGAGTTTGAGGCCAGTCTGATCTACATAACTAGTTCCAAGATAGCCAGGACTACAAAGAGAGAGACCTAGCTAATAAAGAGAGAGAGAGAGAGAGAGAGAGAGAGGGAGAGAGAGAGAGAGAGAGAGAGAGAGAGAGAGAGAGAGAGAGAGAGAGAGAGAGAGAGAAGGTAGTTTGTCCTCTGAACTGTTGTGCCTAAACTCTGAAGCCCAAAATCACCAAGAGACCCGATCTGATGCAAAAGCAAAGAGTCTTTAATTTTATGAGTTAACTCCCTTCCCCAGTCCAACAGACACAGTGGGTAAAGCAGACATTGACCAGGAGGGACCTCAAGCAGCAGTGGGGCAGGTAACATACTGGGGTAGAGCAAGAGAGTCTCAGGATTGGTGCCCCTCCGGGCTTGGGCAGCCTGTCCTGTGTTGGTTGGTCAGTGGCAGCTGCAGGAAGGTAGCTATGTCTGGAAACCCTCCCAGAGCAGTTGTTTCACTATGCATTCCACTTTTACTGTAAAGCACATCCAGAGCCCGCCAGCTAACTTCTGATCGGTTCCTTGCCACATGGAGGGTATCTGGCTTCCTAGTGACTAGAAGGTCGGGCAAGGTCGGGAGCAGAGCAAATGTTGCTGAGTCAGGGGCCTCTGTCTTGCTAGGTCTTTCCTGCAGCCTATCATGGCTAGCAAAGCAGGGGGCTGGGTGAGAGTCTGGTCCCTTCAGAACAAAATGCTAGGCCAAATTCTTCCAGAATAAAATGAGTGGGCAAGTCAGGATAGCATATCTCCAGTCTCTGCTCAGAGCCCTCCATTAAGATCTTATCTCTGAGCAAAGTCAGAGACCACTGGGACCACCTACATAGTCATCCCATTTTTGTTTCTTTTTTCAACCTGTGAGCGAGCCTGCGTGCGTGCGTGGTGTTGATGATTGCAGGCAGAGGCACCTGTCTGGGGGACAAACGCATTCTCGGGTGTTGGTCCTTTCTTATTTTAAAAGAGCCTCTTCTAGTTCAGGGCTGTGTACACCGGGCTAGCTGGCCTGAGTTTCTCCTGTCTCTGCCTCCAATCTCGATGTAGGAGTGCTGGGATTACAGGTTACACCCAGCTTTATACAGCTCACATCCTCACTCTTTCATGGCAAATAGCCGACCGGCTGAACATTCTCCCCAACCCTGGCCATTCCATTTCAACTGCTTTCCCAACAACCCTCCCATCTCTGCTCAAATATTAGCTGTCCACCTGAGAATTAATTGTTTTTCCCAGAAATGTATACTTTGAAGTCTTAGTCCCCAGTATGTACATATTTGGAAATAGAGTCTGCAAGAAGGTAATTCAGGATAAATGAGGTCAGATGTATGGGATCCTTATCCAACAGGACAAAGAGAGACTCCAGAGAGCCTCACCCCTCACATCTCCCCTATTGTCCCTGTCCTTCATTAGAGAATAAGGGGAAATGAGGGCATGGGGGATGAAAGTGTGGGTGAATCAGGGTGTGGGTGGATGAGCAATAATGATTCAACATCTGTTGAATGTGTAAGACATTTAAAGTATCTTTAATGTTAATAAATTATAGCAAGAAATATTATATTTTATAATGGCATTCAAAGAACCTGACAAAATGACTTACTATCCTTAGAACATGGAAATTAAAAATTGAAGTCACCAAAATTTATGTTCCTAACACAGAACGACAAGTTCTTGCTTTCTTAGTTTTCTCCCCCACACATCTGATCCAAGCAGGCTCTGTCCTCCTCCCTCCAATTAGCACAGAGGATCTCTATTGTTAATGCGCCCTGCCCTTCACCGTGTTCTCTACTTGGTAGCTAGATGGACTTGTCAATTTCATCTCTTCTACTACCTCTGGAGGGCAACACTGAAAGTACTGTGTCTGCCATAAACCAGTTTAAAGCCAATCCTCTGGACCTTAGAGATATATCTGATTATCCAAATGTCAGGGGACAGAAGCCATTAGTGAAATTCAACCCTGTATACGTTTTAGAAAAAAAAATCCCAAGTGAACTATCATCTTAAGAATGTTGTCTTGCCAGGTGATGGTGGCATATGCCTTTAGTCCCAGCACTCAGGAGGCAGAGGCAGGTAGATTCTCTGTGAGTTTGAGGCCAGTCTGGTCTACAGAGCAAGTTCCAGGACAGCCAAGGCTGCAAGGCTGCTACATAATAACACTCTGTCTTGAAAAACCAAACAAGAAAAAAAAAAAAAGAATGTAGTCTTCAGTGGTATGTAGGTATACATCTTCCATACATGGCTGCTTTCTTCCATTACAGAAACCAGACTTAGGAGAGCGGCACATTCCGATCTTTATGACTGTGTGTTCTAATTAACAGTATACCCTTGTACTAACTATCATTCTCACTTCAACCACTGAATTATTCCCAATGTTGTAGTAGAGTTTTATTGCTTTCAAATTGAATTTAATCACTTGGGGGGAAAATATAAGAAATTTACCTGCAGTTTTCAAATTAAATTTCTGTACTGGGATGGTTTATTTTTAGAAGAAAAAAAAAAACACATCCCCTGTTTTCCTTCCTCACTGGCTCCCAAATAACACTGAACACTGGTTTCCCCAGCCATGCTCCCCGCGCTCTCTAATCAACTCCTTACTGTTCCACAGACCTCCCGAAAGCATATATTTTTTTACCTGGAGATCCTCAGTGATTTGACCAAATGACAAATTCAGAATTTAGGGGAGGCTTCAAATAACAGCAGGCTAGTAGAATTCACTATCTAGTTTTAAAAAGCCACCTAGTTTAGAATTGCACTGAGTTAAAATGAAAAGAACCTGTGTGTGTCATGACTTTAGAGAGAAGCCATGACCTCCCTGGGGCCTCTCGAGGGTCCTCGCTGGCCCTCAGTATAATCAATTCTGGTGAAACACATGCACTACCCTGTTTATGTGACTGATAATATAGATTACATCAGGTAAACTTCACTACTATTTGTGCTATGTTTTCCCTCAATGTTAAGGATATCAATAAGGTTTGATTCAGATAATATGTGCTAATTAACTATGGTTTGTGCCTCTCAAACTTCACATGCTGAAATCCTAATACCCATGTGATAGTCTTATAAAATGAGGCCTTTGAGGTGTGATAAGGTCATAAAAGTCAATCTCAAAGGGATCGGTGTCTTATTAAAAGATGCTCAAGCCCTAGCATAGTTACCCATATCTATAGTCCCAACACTGGGGAAACTGAGACAGGAAGATTTCAAGTTCAAGACCACCTTCAGCTCTAGAGTGAGACTGACAAAAATACAAAGAGAAATAAACAAAGGATGGATGGATGGATGGATGGATGGATGGATGGATGGATGGATGGATGGAAAACTGATTTCAAAAACCTCACCTCCTAGTTCATCAGGTAAGGTTGTACTAGAAGAGAGCCATCTGTGAACTGGAAACTGGATCCTTACAAGACACCAAGTGTGATCTAAGATTTCCTAGTTTCTGAATTTAGGAGCAAATTTCTACTGTTTCTAAGTCACTCAGAGATGGAACTGTAGCTCAGTTGGTAGAGTTCCTGCCCAGCATGCAGGAAGCCTGCACTGGATCCCAGCACTGTACAAAACCGGGGGGAGCAGCATAGGGTCTGCACTCTTGTCACTCAGAGTTCAAGGTCAGCCTTGAAAACTCAAAGCCAGTCTAGGCTTACATAGCCTGTCTCAGACAAACAGAACAATTGACAAGAGCCAGACATGAGGGAGCACATCTTTAATATCAGCACTTGGGATGCAAAGACAGAAGCAGGTAGATCTCTGTGAATTATAGGTCAGGGCTTGTCTACACAGTAAGTAAGTTCAAAGCCAGCTAGGGCTATGTAGTTTGACCTTGGCTCAAAAACAAACAAAAAAAACAAAAAAACACACAAGCAAAACTGGAATTAATACTCATTTAATCCAAAACTTACCTATAACTTGCTAACAGACATTTTAAACAAAAAAGTTAAAGAAAAACCACATTATGATCAGTATATTCGAAAACATTGTTTTCTTTTCCTTTTTTTTGCTTATTTTTATCTTTGAGACAGGGTCTCATGTAGCCCAGGCTGACCTCAAACTCACCATGGAGCTAGGGATGACCTTGAACTCCTGATTTTCCTGTCTCCACCTCCCAAGCACTGGTATCACTGGTGCACATCATGACACTCAGTTTACCAGGTTCTAGAGATTCGATCCAGGCTTTTCTGTAGGCTAGGCAAGCACTCACATACTGAACTGTATTTCCAGGCCCAAATCAGTTAGAATTCAAAGTCAGACACAAAGAGTTAGACCTTCACACTGAGAAATCTCAGATGTACATAGCAATTTTCTTCCCAAGACTTGTGGGTAAATAGGACTTTTCCTTTTCAGTCAGTCCAGCTCTGTGAAAGCCAATAATTATAGCAACCAAAATAATTGAAAACTAAAACTCTCTTTTTCTACACCAAAAAAGTAACCGCATTAGCAGGGCTAGCTCACCTGTGGTATGAGTCTGTCCAAGTTTTCGGCTCGGTTCCCATGAGAAGGGTGTGTCGACAGCCACTCTGGCAACTTAGGGTAGCCATGAAGACTCTCAGAAAACTCCATCTGCTGCCAAAATACTGAACTGGCTCTTACGTCCACACATGCCTAGACACAAGAGTTAAGAAGGCACATGATGAGCTTAGTTACTACAACTTTAAAAAATTAACTCAGCCAGATGTTCAAAGGAGGGAGAATCTAAAGAAAGAGGAGGTAGGAGAGAGACAGGGAGAGGGTGGGAAAGAGAGAAAAAAAACCTGCGTTTACTTTTGTGTCACTACATGTTTGGAAAATATTCTACTTTTCTAAAACCATTCTAATAAATGAATACATTCACTACTTTAAAAGCATAAAACCTCAAGCTGGGTATTAAACTCAATAGAGTAACACACCTAACACACACTCCCTAGGCTCTGGGTTTGATACCCAGTATTTCAAAACAGAATGGAGAGAAGAGCTAAGCACATACAATAATAGCATCGCAGCAACACAACCCTGACTCCTAACCTACAAACATTTTCAGGATGGTAGACACTAAAAACACATATTAAGGTGAAAAAAATCTTCCATATAAATTAACTTTTCTATTAAAAATAATCTGCACTAAAGAAAGTTTATACCTAATGATACAATTAGAAAAAAGTTAATAAACACGCAGAAAACAGCTAATTTTAATATATATTAATGTGTCCAATTTTCTCAGCTACATGAATACAATACATTTAGTTCATTCAAAACATACCATATTGCCAGGCGGTGGTGGCACACGCCTTTAATCCCAGCACTCGGGAGGCAGAGGCAGGCGGATCTCTTTGAGTTCGATGCCAGGCTAGACCGACAGCCTCCAAAACAGAGAAACCCTGTCTCGTAAAAAAAAAAAAAAAAAAAAAAACCGCCATATTTGAAAGGATGTATATGGTGGTCTACAATAGAGGGGGACACAATGGCATCACAAATTCATATCCACACCTTCCACACACTTGAATGCACAGAACACTGTGGAAGGCTGCTTAAGAACTGCTAATGGTGGTTGCCCTGGGATTTAATTCAAATATTTGAGGTGGGAAGGAAGAAAGAGTTTAATTCTGAAGTATATTAAACTCACAGGTTTTTTAGAAGTCTGTTCAATTTTCTTCGCATCTTAATTTACTCTTTCTATAAGAATTAGGAAACACATGTTTGCATTTCCTACTTTACTTTTGAATAAATTAAGGACAAAATTCTATCAGATTGGTCAAAATGTGGAAACAACAAACCTTAAATTGCGTGACTGTGATACCTAAAATGCAGGACAAATGCCACATGTTATGTCAATTTGATGAAGCTAGCTAGAGTCATTTGGGAAAAAGGAATCTCAAGTGAGAAAATGTCCCCACCAGACTGGCCTGTAGGCAAGCCTATGAGGCTATTGGCTGACGATTAACAAAAGCACGCGTTTATGATATTTTTTTTGCCTTACAAATGTTAGTCAAAGGAGAAGTAACATAGTTGAAGGCAGTATTTAAAACATCTGATATGTAAAAATAGAGAAGACGTATCCCAGTAGATAGCACTTGCCCCACTGTGTTCGTCACTAGCTGACCGACCCTCAGAGTACAACAAATCCTGTAAACGCCAGGAGGAGCACTTCTCTGAAGCACATAACACTAGGGAGATACAAGTAAACCAACAGTAAGAGAACCGCAGGCCTCGGTGTAGCTCAGCTGGTGGAGAGCATGCTTTTGATCTCCAGAACCTCATAGAGAGGACACAGTGGCCATACATCTCGGGAAGCTGACACAGGACTATCAGAAACTCAGGGTCAGCCTTAGTTAGACACTGAATTTGAGGCTAACCTGAGCTACATGACACCCTGTGTTAAAAAAAAAAAAGAAAGACTATCAGAGCACTTTGAAAAGAAACTGACCAGTTACAATGGATCCTTCCCACCCCCCCAAAAATGAAGATCTACAAAATGGTTGACCACTGAGTTCAGAATAACACTCATAAAGAAAAGAGTTCAGTGAATTATAATAAAAGTAATAAAAATCAGTTAATAACTTAGAAAAAACTGGAAAATCCATTAGTGATAATCTTTAAAAGCATCCAGGCACATCTTGGCCCCACCCCTTGGGGACCTGGCAGAGTGCTTCACCCCTGCACTCATGGCAAGCAATGCCGTGGCTCTGTACACAGCCACAGCCACAAATGGTCCCTTTAAGAGACAAGCTCCCCTACTCCCACTCTTTCCTGTGGCCCCTCTGGAGAGGCAGACAGGACTTTGTCCCTCTCCCTCCCTCCCTCCCTCCCTCCCTCCCTCCCTCCCTCCCTCCCTCCCTCCCTCCCTCTCTCTCTCTCTCTCTCTCTCTCTCTCTCTCTCTCTCTCTTTCCTTTCTCCCCGCTTTTCCTTCCCTTTCCCCTCTCCCTTCCCTTCCCCCAATAAAACCTCCTAAGTAGCCTGTCTGCATGGCATGTTTGTTCCTCACCCACCATGGGATCCACCAAGGTCCCCCCTGCACCACATATCATAACGCACTGCCTAAACTAGAACACTTACTGAAAAACTTCAATGGCAACTCTACTGGGCAAAAACAAACAAACAAACAAACAAATAATAAGTTGAAAGGATAGAACATTTGAAATTATACAAAGGAACAAAAAGGATGAAAAGGAACATCTGTAACATCTGTGTAAATTATGGGACACCACCAAGACTGGAAACACTCACATTATAGGATCTGTAGAAAGAGGAAGAAGAACGAGAAAGAGAAGTTAAGGAAATGATGCTGGGAACTTCCAGATGCCATCACTCAGGGACAGGAGGTGCAGATGTCATCAGTAAAATTCAGCCGAAAGGAGAGCATAGCATGACACATAATACTCAAACTCAAAGGAAGAAATGTTCTAAGAGTAATAAAAGAGAAGAGATGTCTCTCTTTAAAAAGACTTCTTTCTCAGCAGAAACCTTGCAGCCAGCTGAGAGGAGGACCACAATATAGTCAAGCGATAAAGGAAGTAACTGCCAATCAAAAGGCTTTTTCCTGCAAAGTTGTCTTTCATAAATGACGGAGAGATGAAAACTGAGTAGAATGGGGGATGGGGGCATGCACCTACAATCCCCACTTACAAGCTGGAGAGAGGGAGACCACACAGGAAGACACTGCCTCAAAGGCAAAAGGAGTTCGCAACCAACCTCACTTTACCGGAACTACAAAGGAAACTATTTAAACCAAAACATAAATACAAATAACTGTTGAATAATAACATGAAACAAACAAAAGTCAAAACTCAGTGCTGCGTGTAAGCAAAGGCCATCTTCAGGGTACTCCGAGATTATAATACTGTGTTATGGTGATCTCTTGTCCTTAATGAGGGTTAAAAGATCAAATAATTAATAACAACTATAGGCAAAAATAATACCAAGTACTAACACAAACTGGAAAATGTAAGCAATGTAATCAATATTAACCCAACAAGAGATCAATGTCCAAAATATACAAGGAAAACTTACAAGTCAATAGTAAAATACATTTAGGCTAACAATGGGAAAAGACCCAAGAGCCTCAAAAACCGGCATACAAACAACAACGGGTATATGAAAAAATAGTCACCATCGCAACACCTCCAAGAAATACACCTCAGAAACACATGAGCTATCATCTCACACCTGTTGGGAGGCTAATACAAAAATAACAGTAATATGAAAAAAATCAACCCTTACACTTTGTTCATGGGTATGTAAAATGATGCTATCTCTATGTAAATGAATACAGAGACTTCTCCAGAAACATTAAAAATGGAACCCATATGAGTCAGCAATTCTACTATGCAGTGTTTACCTAAAAGTTAAAAACAGTATCTACTTTTAACTTATTTTTATCTTGTTTTTAAAGATAAACTAGCATTCCCCATTCACTACTACACAATTGACAGTGGTATTTTTTTGCAGCAATAGCTGGAAACAACCTAAATGCTCACTCAGAGATGAGTGGGTAAAGATGTGGGACTGCATATACACAAAACAGCCTTACCCAACAGGGCAATCCTACCATGTACAACAACATGGATGAACACTGGGGATGTTCGGCTAGGAAAGATGAAGTAGGCATAGGACAAATACTACCTGATCCAACTTACATGAGGAACCTACAATAGGTAGTCAGACACAGGGTAGGGTAGTTATGAGGGACGCAGTAGAAGGTGATGAGGACCTTCTAGTCACTGGACAGTAGGTTCTAGATACTGGCTCTATGATATTGTTCCCAGAGGTCATTCTGCATTACACATTTAAATTTGTGAGATCTTTACATTAAATATTTCTGCCACAAAAAGGGAGAAGGGGCAGCAAGAAGGCTCAGTGGATGAAGGCACTTGTCACTAAGCCTGAAATTATTTGGTGGGAGAAGAGAACTGATGTCTCCAAGTTGTTCTCTGACCTTCACATGTACACCACGGACATGCATGCACAAGCAGATGCATACATAAAGAAATTCAGGCACAAGCAGATACATGCATAAACAAACAAAGTAGTAAGACAATACCTAATGAACTAGAGATGCCTCAGTGGTTAAGAGCACTTGTTGCTCTTCCAGAGGACCCAGGTTAGATTCCCAGCACCTTAAAGGTGGCTCACAACAATTGCAGTTCCAGGGGAATCCAATTCCCTCTTCTGGTCTGTGAAGGCATAGCACAAACAAGTAGCACAGACAAACATGCAGGCAAACTGAAACACAGAAAACAAATAAAAGTGGACTGGATCTGTCTATGCATCCCCTGACTTTCCTGGAACCTGCTCCTAAAGCTGACTGGCCTTGGACTACCTGCCCCTGCCCCTGCCCCTGCCCCTGCCCCTGCCCCTGCCCCTGCCCCTGCCCCTGCCCCTGCCCCTGCCCCTGCCCCTGCCCCTGCCCCTGCCTCCAAGTGCACAATCATGTTTGGGCATAAAATCTCTTTTTAAAATACTATCTACTAAAAGAGCATATGTTTACCAAGATTGTGGGAGTACATGAAGAAAAGATGAGACTCTTTCTAGAACACCTTTCCTTCTTCAAACAGAGCCAGTCGAGATCACAAGTCCCAGGAAACACAAGAACAGATGTCAGTGGGAAATGCATCCTAGAATGCTGCAG